TTTTTGTATTTTTAGTAGAGATGGGGTTTTGCCATGTTGGCCAGGCTGGTCTTGAACTTCTGACCTCAGGTGATACACCTGCCTCGGCCTCCCAAAGTGCTGGGATTACAGGTGTGAGCCACTGCACCTGGCCGACCCGACTTTTGTCAAAAAAGGAAGAATGGCCTCTGCAAGGAAATGCTAGCTTGAAACTGATCCAGACAACAATTTTTGATGGGATCATTAAAATTATCTGCTGGCACATTTTAAAGTCAGAGATCACGAGGAGCCAGCCAGGCTCACTATGAACAAGCCCTGCATGAGAATACTTCTTTTCCTGTTTCAGTGGGGATGCTGGGCTGGAAGAAAACACAACTACTTAAATAGGGTTGCATCCTTCTGGCAAGTTCTCGTCTACCATCCTGCACCTGTGGCTGAGAGGAAGGGGAGGATGGAGCCTCTGCCGATAGGGGTGGGGACCCGGCCACAGTTCCACAGCCCCGTCGCCCACCCCTGCCCACTCCCCTCCACACCTGGTCAGGGTCAGCTCACTGTCATACCGACCCACCAAAAATAGAACGATTTGTGCACTGCATATATTATGGGGCACCCTGTGGCAGTCTTTGCATGCCCTTGGTCAACTTGTTTGTCCAGGACTTAAGTAAAGGCCCGGCTGAGAGAATGACCAGCTTCCTATCGACTGTGTCAAGGGTTTAGATGGTCACAGGGTTAATACAGAACCCAGAAACCTGGGCTAGCTACAGAAGGAAACTGAAGCTTAAAGATGCAAGAATCACTATTAGATTCCAACGCCATTGCTCTTCCTACTTCACCATGCCAGTTAAATGTGCCGGGGCAAATTCAAGTCAGATATTTAGGCTTAAGGGTGCATTTCATGGAGTACAAAATGGGGAACTGCTGACTTGCAAACATTTCCTATGAAGAGACTTGTGGTTTTTAGATAATTTCAAGCTTGACAAGACGAGATGTGGCTACTAGGAAAGCTTTGGCGCAACTTTAAGGTGCATAAATGACAGTATTCCTTGTGCCCAGATAAGGGGAGGCGTTCCCATCCCATCGCATGATGAAGACACTGCAGCTGCCAGGTCCCACCGCTTGCTTGAGAAGGCAGTGGTTCCCCTCTGTTCTGTCCTGGCCTGGCTACATCTGCAGGGCTGGATTCAGTTTAGGGCATTTTTTTTTTTTTTTTTTTTTAGGAGGCGAGGTCTTGCTATGTTGCCCAGTCTGGTCAGGAAGTCGTCTCACCCCCCCACACAGCTGGAACTATAGGCGTGTGCCACTGTATCCTGCTAAGGCACTGGGTTTTAAAAGTTTTGAATGAGTTAGAGTTCATCTGCTTAAAAGGTCTGAACACCCTGACACCAAGAAATGGAAAAGAACTAGGGCTATCCAGGCCTCGGTGGGGCACGGGGGAGATGTGTGTGGGTTAGGGGAGACCCAAGAGAGTCTGGCAGGGCTCTGAAGGCCTGCTGTCTTCCAGGGGAACAGATCCAGCCTATGTCACTGCAGATGGCAGAGGGGGACCGAGCAGTGAGAGAACACCATGGCTCACTGGGCTAGACTCGGTCTGTTCTGATAGAGCTGTCCTTGACAGGCATCTGCTCACAAAATAATGTGGTCCAGGAGACCGACGAGTCTGAGAAAGCGGATGGCATCTGACAAGGAAGGGGTCTAGGTGAGGGCAACAGTCCAGAACCTGCTGCCTCCCAAGTCATAACAGTAAATCTCTGCAGAAAAACAGACACCTGGTTCTGGCAAGACTGTTTTGCTGAGGGTTAGTGGAAAAGAGGGAGAGAAATGCTAGAAAGACCAGCTTCTCTGCTCCCACCTGTCCTGGCACACTCTGGTGAGTCATCCTGAGGAATCTCGACCCTCAGACTCCAGGGGGTCTCCATAAAACAGGAGTAGTGAGTGCCCATGAACTTGAGACTGACAGTTCTCATTTCGGGTCTAATAAACACGCCACCCGTGGCAGCACTGGAGCATCTGCTGGAACATCATCTTTATCTGCCACTAGCAAAACCCTGGTGCCAAGATGATGGGGTGGGCTGTCTGCTGAACAGGAGCTGGGGCGCACCCTCAGGAGGGAGGGGGCTCCATCCACCCATCTTCAAAAAGAACTTTTGCATGCCGGCCCCCGGGGACCATGTGCTCTCCCCGACGTGGAGGTGGTTACTGTGCCCAGGCTCAGGGCTGGGTGGAGTCAGCTCTGCGGGCAGGGAAGCCTGGGGGTCGGATGGAAATGAATGAGGTCCTTCCAGCAAATCAGAGTCTCTCCTCCTCCCCAGCTCCATGTGGACGGCAGCTTCCCAGCCACCCTAGGGAAGGAATGAGGGTTTGGGGCTCACTGTGGGCCCCATTTTAAATGGGCACCAACAGCCCAAAGTGAGGCCTGGGCCGTCGGCAAAGGTCCTGGGTCATCTGGGCAAGTCCAGTCACATCAGCAATTTGGCCTCTTCGTTCCTATCTTTGTGTTTCAGAATCAAGAGCCATCTTCCAACAAACAGGCCAAACCCCATGGCCACCAAAGGTAGAAGAGGTTGGGTGGAGAAGGCTTGCAGTGTGCAGCACTGCCCCCAGGAGCAGACTTGATTCCCCAGAACACAGGGGGCCTCAGCCCATGGTAGGGAGGCTGAGCCCACGTAAATGGCCACGCAGGGGCTGGGGAGGGAAGGAGAAAGGCACCTGGGGAGTGAGGGGCACAGGGCTCGGCGCACCCGGCCATATTTCCACAGCCCCCTCACCCACCCCTGCTCACTCCCCTCCACACCTGGTCAGGGTCAGCTCGCTGGCAATACCAACCCCCCAAAAATAGAACCATTTGTGCACTGCATATATTATTACATCCTTATAAAAGTGGCTGCCAGAAGGAAAACATTTTTATGTGCTGTGGCTGCACAGATGTTCCACAAGGTGGTTCCAATGGAGTTTGAAGCCAGAGCCTGGCCCGCATGTCCCCAGCAGGCACCTCTCCCCCTCCCCATGGCCCTAACACAGGCAAGCGTTTGGAAGCCGGAAGCCTTTCCCCCAGAGGGGCTATATTACACCTCCCACTGCCACGCGGCATCTTCTAGCAGGACCCAGAGGGCACGGCCCTAAGGCGTGGGCCCCACTCAACAGCTCTGAGGCCGCCCAGCTCCTGTGCTACAGCCCGAGAGGAAAGGGCCTGGACCAGGCCTCC